TTTTAGACAATCCGAGGAGCAACCGACCGGAACGGAGGACGGCGCTAGTGGCACGAGAACTGGCGCGCTACAAGGTGGACATCGCCGCACTCAGCGAGACCCGATTCTCCGAACAAGGCCAACTGGAGGAGGTGGGTGTCGGCTACACCTTCTTCTGGAGCGGTCGACCCAGGGCAGAGCAACGGGACGCGGGTGTCGCCTTCGCCATTCGGAACGACATCGTGGGACTACTGCCCTGTTTGCCGCAGGGCATCAACGATCACCTGATGAGCCTCCGCCTGCCTCTTTGGGGAGACAAATTCGCCACCATCATCAGCGCCTACGCTCCGACGATGACCAACCCCGACGCCGTCAGAGACAAATTCTACGAGGACCTGCACGCCTTCCTGGCGACTGTGTCGAGGGCGGACAAGTTGATTGTCCTTGGTGACTTCAACGCCAGCGTCGGCACAGACCATACTGCCTGGAGAGGAGTGCTGGGTCCCCACGGTCTCCGAGGCTCCAACGACAATGGTCTGCTGCTCCTCCGCACCTGCGCAGAACACCGCCTCATCCTGACGAACACGTTCTTCTGTCTGCCGGAGCGAGAGAAGGCCACCTGGAGGCATCCTCGGTCGCGCCAGTGGCACCTGCTGGACTATGTCCCGCGTCCGGAGGCGAGATCAGCGGGACGTGCTGGTGACGAAGGCGATCGCGGGTGCTGACGGGTGGACCGACCATCGCCTCGTCATCTCGAAGATGCGTATTCGCCTACAGCCTCGCAGGAGACCACAAGGTAAGCGACCCCCAGGTAAGCTGAATGTTACCTTGTTGTCTTTGCCCGCTCACCACCTTCATTTCAGCAATGAGTTAGCTCAAAGGCTAGACAACTTTCCAACCGCTGCCGACGCCGCCGCTGTCGAGAACGCCTCCGTGGAGAACCGCTGGTGTCAACTGCGAGACACGGTCCGGTCGACGGCGCTCGCCGTCCTCGGTCGCGCTCCCCGCCAACACCAGGACTGGTTCGACGACAACGACGCCGTCATCAGAAATCTGCTAGCTGAGAAGAACCGACTACACAAAGCCTACGTAGATCACCCCACTGATGCCACCAAAGCTGCCTTCTACCGTAGTCGCCGCCAACTTCAGCAACGACTGCGCGAGATGCAGGACGCCTGGACTGCTCGCAAAGCTGAGAGGATCCAAGGCTACGCGGACAGCAACGAATGGAAGAACTTCTTCTCTGCGATCAAAGCTGTCTACGGTCCGGCGCCGAAGGGCACTGCTGCACTCCTCAGCGCCGACGACAACACTCTCCTGACTGAGAAGACGCAAATACTGCAGCGATGAGCCGAGTATTTCCGAGGCGTCCTCAACAACCCCTACGTCGTCTCCGACGCCGCCATCGAGCGTTTGCCGCAAGTGGAGACCAACGTGGACCTCGACCTCCCGCCCTCTCTCCAGGAGACCATCAGGGCCGTGCAGCAGCTCTCCAGCGGAAAAGCACCCGGATCGGACGCAATACCTGCTGAGGTCTACAAGCACGGAGGTCCCCAACTGATGGATCACCTGACTGCGCTCTTCCATGAGAAGTGACGTCAAGGTGAAGTCCCCCAAGATTTCAAAGACGCAACCATCGTGCATCTCTACAAGCGAAAAGGGAACCGCCAAATCTGCGAAAACCACCGCGGCATCTCCCTGCTGAACATCGCAGGGAAGAACTTAGCACGAATCCTTATCAACCGCCTCAATAACCATCTGGAACAGGGTCTTCTGCCGGAAAGCCAATGCGGCTTCCGTCGTCTTCGTGGACCACGGATATGATCTTCGCCGCCCGTCAACTTCAGGAGGAGTGTCAGGAGATGCGGACCCACCGGTACTGCACCTTCGTGGACCTGACGAAAGCCTTCGACACGGTGAATCATGAAGGACTGTGGAAGATCATGCTGAAATTCGGCTGTCCGGAGCGATTCACTCAGATGTTGCGTCAGCTGCACGACGGTGTGATGGTGCGAGTCACGGACAACGGAGCTGTCTCAGAGGCATTCGCAGTGACCAACGGAGTGAGGCAGGGATGCGTGCTGGCGACAACACTCTTCAATCTTATATTATCTGTCATGCTGATGGACGCCTACCGCGACGAGCGCCCCGCGATCCGCATCGCCTACAGGACGGACGGTCACCCCCCTTGAATCAACGGCGGATGCACTTTCAATCGCGCGTATCCACAACCACCGTTCACGAGCTTCTCTTCGCCGATGACTGCGCCCTGGACACCACCTCGGAAGAGGAGATGCAACGGAGCATGGACCTGTTCTCCGCCGCCTGCGAGAACTTCGGTCTGGTCA